CACACGTCGCAATTCCTTGATCGTCTGCCGCGGTGCACAGCTATCTCTGAGCGAGGGAGGTCTTCTCTGTGTCATATACCGCGGCGCGTTGTGTGTCTGCCATAGTGCATGACCATTTTCTGCACTTTATCAGACGTGAAATGAGACAAAAAAAGAAAGAAAAGAAAAGAGAGAAAGAAGAGTGTGCTAATACTCTGCTAGGGTTTACTTGGAGACTACTTTGAGAGTATTTTGAAGGCTACAAACACCCAAGGTAAGTATAATACTTATTAATCTCCCCATTTCTTTCACATTTATAAGTTTATGGTTAGGGTTTGATAGTGGAAGTGAGATTTCAGTTTATATAGGTTATGGGTCTAAATTTGTTAACTCAAATGGAGTTAATAAAGGTATATTAAAGTATCTAAACTTAGGTATAATGAGTTTTGGTATCTTGGATTGTTGGACACCATTAATGTCCGAAAATCCCATTTATTATGGGTGGTTGAAAGTTTGTGATGCCATTAATGAGGATTTAATGGCTCATTAATGCTATTGGAGGCTAAAGGTAATTATTAAACCCAATAGTTAGGCCCCACCTCTTGTAAAGTAAAGGTTGGGCAATTTGGAAGTAAAGAGTGAGGGTTCAAATGTTTGAGTTTGTTATGTTGATGGAATTCAACTTGGTTGGTTGTAGTTTTGGTTCTTAGTCACCTATTGGAGTGAAAATTCAAACTTGAAAGCTATTTAATTGAGGGGTAAACCTTTAACCTCTCAAAGGTTTGAGGTAACCGGAGAAAACTCTACTTTGGCAGTTATATGTTAATTGATTATTGAATGTAAATGGTGAATGTTACATGCATAAAATTAATTTTTATGTAAAACTATATATTAGTTTTTAATGAGTGTATGAAAATTTGATTAAGCACAGTGCTATTTTGACTTGAAATTTAAAATGTAAAGTCAAAAGGATTTTACTATAAAACTGCTTATGTTTTGAAAAATGAATGCGATGACGAGTAGAGATATTTGTGTATTAGTCATGAAATGAATTTGAGAAAATAATGAGGATACACACTTGGATAGCGTAAGGTCATGAGCCTAACATGATTTTTGTAATAGTAAGTAAATGAAAGTGAAAAAGTAAACTCAAGTAAGTAATGATTATGGTATGATCAGTGGCGGGAGTTCGCCTAGGGATTTAGGAGTAGAGAAAATTCATATGATAATTAGGCTGCCCTTCGGTGCACAAGGGCTATAGCCTTGTCTTACTATTTGTCGAGGGACTATCCCATAGTTTATTGAGGGACTAGAACTTAGCTATCTCCACTAGTTTAATGAAGAGAATAGCCTAGGGTATGAGACACCCTAGGGATTCGAGAATAGGGAAGCCGTAGTCTGAGAGTGAGTCCTATGATCTTTGACCTGCTCACATCTCATGATTGGTGAGCTTGGGTAGTTCAATCACACGAATGGAGCCCTAATCAATGTTATAGCCCACAGTTTTAGTCTAAGAAAATAAGAAGATATAAAGTTGGATGATCATTGCCTAAGTAAATGAATGACATGTCATACATGCTAAACGGTGGCAGGTTGCAAGAGTATAGGTCATGTCACATATCTGAGAATATGGTGATAATGTACCTAGTTACATGAGTTAAAGAAGCTATATAGTGATAAATAGTAAATTATGATACATGTGAGTTTGATTTGCATATTTGATCTCCTTGTGCATGTATTTGTTTTATAATTGATATATAATTGTATAGGGTAGGGTTAACCTTGGTTACTGAGTGGCTAGACTCACCCCTCTTATTTAATACTTTTTAGGCCCTAACTCTGGTGTTGAGAGGGAGAAGACTAAAGAAGTAGGAAATTAGCATATTCCTACTGTATGTCTCTAGTTTAGCTTTAATTGTATAATAGTATATGGCTTGCCAATTCTAGGATGCATATTACCTCACTCGCACTATTTTGGTTGTTGAAAATGTTAGAATTATATTTTGGGCCCTTAACCTTTGTGTATGTTGACATATATATGTTTATAGGGCTAAAATACTAATGCAAGTGTAGAAATAAAGATTTGAGCATGTTTTAAATTATTTGAGTTAAATGCAATGGGAAATTACCTCCTCCTTTGTTTTTGGTAAATTGGGGTTGAGGAGTAAATTTCTGTTATATTGATATTTCGATGCTTGTGACATGTTGTACTAGTAGTCTTAAGTTCATTGGATATGGTTCAGGTGTTAGGAAAATCTTTTGGCACTTGTTGAGAGTTTTGGACACCCATTTTGTGTAAAAGTATTAAAAAATAGTCAAATTGTGTTTGGGTGTCCAACTTTCTAGTGTGATTTATTTTGGAAGTGAAACCTGTGCCATTAGCTAGTTCATGTGAAGAGCTTTCTGTAGAAACCTAGATCACGTATTCAGACATCGGACAGAGAATCAAGGCGAGTCAAAAGTTCTCAGTTTTGCTATCAAATGACAGCAGAACCAATGAATTTTCGTGTAACACGTTGCGGCACATGGCACCTGAGCTACTACGCGTGGCACAACGAGTAACACGCCACGGCGCATTGCTCTAAATCATAGCATATGTTTTGTTTTTCAATCATTTTCGATTTCTTTCACTCCTCTGAGGTATCCTATGCTTCCGAAACTTATTTTTACTCTGATATGAAAGATTTTGATTGATTTTAACTTGTTTCTCTTTAGAAAAATTGGGATCCCTTACTTTTGGATTAAAACTTGATACTCACTTTTTGAGCTAATCCTCTAATTATCATGAGTTTCTTTTATTAATAGCGTTTAATGGAGTGAGAACGTTACACCCCTCTATTTGAATTGAGATGTATTTGGTCCCAAAATTAAAGAATTCATCCTTGATTAAAGGTTGAGAGGTTATTAATTATATGCTTGTGTGATGGTGAAGGCAATGTCTTTAAGTGGAGTGTCTTCATCAAAGAAACGATTTGTGCATCTTGCTCTTCTAGATATTCCAATAAACATGAGGAAATATTTTTTACCAAATAATTCTTCTTGTACTAGGGTATCCTACAAACTCTTTGGGCCCATTTGGTTATTGAAGAGGAATGTAATAGAAAGAAATGATTTATAGATAACAAAATGAACTGAAATAAACTTGTAGAATGATAGAAAGATGGAGATAATGGAAAAATTAAAGCTATGAGGTAATAGAGGGGTAGAAAAGGAGATTACCATAAATAAAGTCATCAATACTCATTCCCACCTTTTCATCACTCCAAGGCTCTTGCCTCTCTATAATTTTCCATTTCTCTATCAATACACAGCTTATTCTAGTATATTTTGTTCACTATCAACACATTCCTTTTCATTTCATTGCAATAACCAAATAGACCCTTTGTGTTTCAAAGAATCCAATCATGCAATAAAAGAGAAAAGAAAGTAGTTAGATTTGAATACTTCCCAAGCTCTCTTACTGTCACTCAAAATATGTAAGGACGAGTCTAAAATGTAATAAAAGAGAAAAGAAAGTAGTTAGATTTGAATACCTAACTAATCTTTGCTACACTTCCCAAGCTCTCTTGCTGTCACTCAAGATATGTTAGGACGATTCTAAAATGAAAATAGTAATCAAGGATCACTGACTAAATTATATATCAGTCAAGAACTAATTATTATCAAAACTTGAATGAAAAACAAGCCTGACTAAATTATTGTTAATTTATAATGAGTTGTTAAAACCCAAATAGATAATTGTTAATAAAAGACTAACCCAAATCAATACCTATCCATTTGAATTTTGACAATAACTGATCATTGGTTGATATAAAGTTTTGCCAGTTGTCCTTGATTGTTATTTTCCCATTCTAAAACATTACAACAAAAGGACAAGTCCTTTGGCAAACACGGATCCTTTCGTGACAACAAAGCTAGTTTGGAGGTGATTTCATATATCTTTCAAAGAAATGATTTGATTTTCTTATAAGTTGGCCATTTCTAAATTCTTGCCAGTCCATTAGTTTCAAGAGCTTTGTACTTGATGACCTCTAATCTAGCATATAATGTCATTTGCATTACAGGGATTAGGAGGTTGAACCCAGGAGAATCAATAAGCATTTTCTAATCAATGAACCTTGTCATGATTCCTTTTTTTTTTTTTTTTGTGAGAGCTGAGTAGTTGAGCCCTAAGCATTAATCAAACAATGAACTCGAACTTAAGATCTTATTTTTAAACAATGATAGTTAATTCTATCAAAGTTAATGCATGTTGGTGGCTTGTCCTGATTCTTGTGATTCTCAATTAATAAATATTTCCCTCTAAAGAAAAATTAGCATAATGGATTTTCATCAGTGACTAGATTATTTTTCTTGATGTAACAATTCAGAAGGAATATGTAGCTACTAGAAAAAGTTCTAAAAGAAAATCTGATTTTTTTGTACTACGGCATGTGCCCTTCAGAGCAGCCTGCGCTTCTGATGAATTGTGAGTAAATGAGTCGACATCCTCCCATTTTGCGTCATTGATACTTCTCCAGTGGCTCATAATTATGGCACTTTATGAATAGTCCATTTCCTTCCATGTCTCTGTTCTCGAATATCTTCATTTCCAAATATAATCTATCATATATGCATGAATCCAATATAAACTTTTTATCTGTTTTCTTTTTATTTAAAAAAAAAAAGCATACTTAATCTAGCTATTTTTGGTGCGATCACACAAGCTAAGATATCATATATCATATCTAGATGACTGTTTCATTGCGTATGCGAGACTTAACCTAGACAAGAAAATATTCACCATAGTACCAAACCCTATCTCGAAAAATTCCTTTATAGGCAATAGCCAAAGCACCCTTTTCCCACTTATTCAAATCGAAAATCTAGCAAGCCGAAAAGAAAAGGCAGCTGTTTGATTAATATATCCACGTGTCGGATAATGGTCAAAAATTACTCATTTGTTCACCAGGTTACTAAGACCCCATCTTGATAAATTCCCTTGATGAGTATGTATATAAATAGGCATGAAGACAAGCTAGTCTCAGATCTCATCATTGAAGGATTAGCTTGAACCTTGTTCTAGTCTATATATACCTTCACTTTCACAGCTTTATTAGCATTAATTCTCTTGCTGATCCCACCAGTTGCAGAACCCCGCAAGAAACTGAGCCATGTCTACTATTTCGAAGAGAGATAAGACTTGTTCTAAGGAGGAAGAAGAGAGTACTGAGATGAGACGAGGCCCTTGGACTCTTGAAGAAGACAGCCTCCTCATCCACTATATTGCTCGCCATGGTGAGGGTCGCTGGAATATGTTAGCAAAAAGTGCTGGTACGTACCTCAAGTCTCTTCTTCAATAATCTATAATAATTGTATACAACTGAAACTAAACTTGTTCGTTTCTGGTTGAACCATTCAGGATTGAAGAGGAATGGGAAAAGTTGCAGACTCAGATGGCTTAATTACTTGAAACCAGATATCAAGCGAGGAAACCTTACCCCGCAAGAACAGCTCTTAATCCTAGAACTTCATTCTAGGTGGGGTAACAGGTAATGATCTGATGATCTGTTCATATTAGTACTAGTTCTTGGGTTGCTATGAAACTATTAAACTTGGGTCTGTTTGGCGATTTTATAAGGTGGTCGAAAATTGCTCAGCATCTGCCAGGAAGAACTGATAATGAGATCAAGAACTATTGGAGAACCAGAGTGCAGAAACAAGCACGCCATCTTAATATTGAATCTGGAAGCAAGAAATTCATTGATGCGGTTCGGTGTTTCTGGATGCCAAGATTGGTTCAAAAGGTTGAACAGAAACAGAATTCTTCTCCTTGTACTGCTGCTGCTGCTGCTTCGTACTCTTGTTCTCTCACAGCAGGCACGAACCTTCATGTTTCTTCTTCATCATCTTCCCCAATGTTGTCAACCTGCAACAACTCTGTTATGCCTTCTCTGTCTTCATCATCATCACCAATATCATCTTTCCAGGCAAATTTTCCCAGCAATTTCTGCTCCAATCCCAGCAATTTTCCCTCTGATTCCTGGCAATTCTCGCAGGTTCTGGAACCTCCTAATTCAGAACTCCCAGCAAGTAGCTCTTATTATTTGTTGGAGAACAATGCTTTTTACAGCAACCCAATTCAGGAAAACTTGTTGGTGAACAATAACATTATGGGTACTCATGGGTATGAAATCATGGATTATAATAATCTGATCAATAATCATCAGCAGGAACCAGCGACAATGATGGAAACTTATGACATGTTGCCGTTTGATTATTATCAGCCAGTGGCAGAAAATGACTGGACGTTAGGAAACATGGCAGAGACTTTATGGAACATGGAAGCTCTGTGACAGAGAATAGCCATTCGCATGCATCTCGGCTTCTTTTTACCGTTGGATGGTCAATCAAAGATTCATGTAATATTATACGGAGATCTTTAATGTTTCCTGTTCTTGTTACAGTTTTTAATTAAGGTTCAGGTTATTAGGTATAGAACTCTGATCATCGTGTATTGCATGCATGTCTTTGTTCTATGATTAACATAATATGTATGCTTAATCATGTCTAAATATGGCATATTTAGATAGAAATGACAGTCAAGGATGAGGTTTAATTAATTATTAGTTTTGGAAAAGAATGTGATTTGACTACGACATTTGGATCTTATTAGTGCATTATTGTCTCCATTCTCTTATGCTTTTTTTAATTTTCTTTTTCTTTTTTCCCTGTCCCCCAGTATGATCAATGAGAATATTTGGTGATTAAATGGACAATCTATATAAAATAAATTTAAAAGAAGTGGTACTTTTAATATTCACATGTTATAAGGTTATGGCCTCACCATCTATTTATATAGTCCCTATTATAATACTTTAACTACTTCGCCAATTCTTTAAAAAGGTGGTTAAATCATTAATTTCGTCTAAAAATATAATAAACTTTCAATTTTGCTTCTATTTAAATGAAAAATTTTTAAATTTGCTTTACACTTTCCCCCATTAATGAGTTTAAATAGGGATAATATTGTAAAATTGTAATTAATACCCATCTAGTTTCTTATATCAAGGGCCAAAAAATCCTTCTAGTACCTTATAATAGGGATTGAATGGAGTGTAATATAAAAATTCTAACAATTTTTTTTACAAGAACATTGAACTATACCATTCATTTTAAAAAAAAAATCAGTATAATATATGCCAGGGACTACAACAATTTTAAGAGAAAAATAATAAAATAGAAGATTCAAAGTATTTGCATCACAAAAGGGTCAAGAAGCAAAATCTAATTATGGAAAGAAATGACACACATGTAAAATATGGCCATGTGTGAGTTGATAATAGGGAGGCCATAGCTATCATGAGGAAAGTTGAAAATGCTTTATTTGATCAACTAACTACTTATCTTCAAGTATAGCCACTTGAAATATCAACATTAATTAGGGCCATGTGTCCTATCCCAGCAGGCTTCAATTATCTTGATCATTGTAACATGCAAAAAAATAATAATGATACTTTTGCATTTAAATTACACACGCACATGGCATGTCAAATTTTACTTATCATTCAAAAATTTAAAAAATTAACAATCCTATTCATATTTTTCAATTCACCAAAGAAATGTACAAAAGCATTAACTTCACTTAAGTAACTCATCCTAATTCATCTTTTTGGCAGACATTAATTAGCCAAACAAAATGGTACATAGCATATTCTTTTCAGTCCTAATTATAAAGTGTTTTTTAAAAAACTTTAAGGTATCATGCAATATTATCTAATGGTTTCTCTTTTTTACCCCTCTGCCTATTAATGAATGACGATCTCATAAATTATCCCCTAAAAAGTAAAGGTTTTACATTTATTTAATTAATAAGGGTAAAAATGAAATTTTATTTTGACCTTTAATTTTTTTCACAAATTTAATGCTGTAACTATTTTTTCTCAAAATGCATGAGTTGATTAGAAGCACTTTATTTTTAGGATGCATGACCAAATAAAGTACACACACATTTCATATACTTTATTTATATTTCTTTTTTTAAAGAAGAACATTTTACCGTAGGAAAAATGAGACATCCAAATCTAACTCTATTATGTTTGCTAATTGAATCAGCTTGTTTAAAAATCCGGTGGAACCAATCCATATGAAAAGATTATCTCTAAATCTAGGATCACACAAGTGGAGGGAGAGAGAGAAGCAATTCAGTGAGCTCACGTATCAAATAAGGTCCATTATACACACACACGTATACATACATGCTTCCTCTATTTTATTTATAAGTTATTTTCATCATATTTTATAAAAATTAAAAAAAAATTAAACTTCATTAATTTTATCTTAAAATTTAATGAGTTTATTCCTCTACCCTTAAATAAAAACCAAAAGAACTATTTTTAATTATTTTTTCTATTATTTAATAAGGGCAGAAAAGTAAAGATGAAATAAAAAATAGTAAAGTATACTATAAATAGGACTATAATCAATCTTCTCTTTCTTTCTTATAAATAGTACTAGATAAGTATATAACTACTATATGTTCTTGGTCAGATTTGTCTTCCTCCATTCAACCTCTTTGAAATTATGCTGTACTTGGACGGTCAATTTGGCATTTAAGATTAAAAACAAAACCTTCTTTCAATGTAAGCTTTGTATCTGATGGAACATGGAGGTTTTACAAGAATTTTCACAGAAAAAGGAAGAATTGGAAGTAATATAATCCTTTACTTCTATAACTCCTACCTTAGATCGTTTGTGATTTGGATTCAAACTTTCATCTTGGATTATGGCCTTCAGCCGAAGACACTCACAATAATCATCAGTAATAAGTAATAGATTTGGATTCGATAACTGTACTTAATATAAGTACTGAGTGCAGGTAACACTTGAATTGTTGAAATTCAAATTAATGATTTTGAATTCATATACTCTACTTGAGATTAACGAATAATGAGTTTATCTGAAAGGTTAATTTAGATTTGAATAATTCAAATATTATAGGCACTCAGTGTCTACATTAAATACAGTCACCGAATTTAAATCTATAATTATCCTTCAATCTTTCATGATTAATCTAGATGCACAGTGTAGTTAATGAATATTTATTTGACTTGTTATCTTTTTCCCCTTCTTGGAACGGCTTTACTACTTGTTTCTTTCCCCACTTCCCAAATTCTTAAGCCTCCAGCTGGGAGCTAACATTATTTTATTGTTTTATTTTATTTTATTTTTATTATAAGTTGATTTTCCTTATATATATTGATGAGGTATCAGGTTAGGCTAATTAGAACCCTCGTTCCTAGGTTTGAAAGTCATGTCCTCCGATATGAGATGACTAAATATATATATATATCCCTATATATGTAACATATAATTCTTATAAATTTGATGACAATTTCATCGGAACCCATCAATAAAGTGGAAACTACTCCTATTGATTTCAAAATCAATTTGATTTTGAAAACATCCCCAAAAGTGAAACTTAACTGTGTCCATACTGGGAAATGCATGTGATGATGCAACAACACTAGTAGGACATCACATGAATTTGTTGCAGCTGGGAATGACCAAATTTGCCGTGTGTGTATGTGTGCGTGAAAATTAAATTGAGTTGGGGATCAGCATGAAATATGAAATGAGAAAGCATAGTGCATTTTGTGCAGAAAATTAATTACTTTGTTGAAAGGATATGCATGTGGCTGATAGCTAGATATAGGGTTGAGGTAGCCAGACCGGCCACTTTAGTAGCATAGTGAAAATAAATTTGGTTAAACACATGCACGTGGATGCAACAAGCAAACACTGAATCTTGCATCACAACCTCACGCGTATTCCTTTTATTTCAAACATATCAAGAAAGGGTTAAAGAGTTTTTTCCTCCTAATTTTTTTTAGAAGAATTTGACATGACAATATCTCCTCGAAATAATATAATTTTTCGTAAAAACAGAATCATCATTCTATCAAAGACTCATCATCTTTTTCATTATTTATTAATATAAATTAGTTATGGGACTTATGCAAAATAACAATAAGGCATTATTTAACCCATTTTGCCATTATTCACCATTAAAATTAGGTCTAGTTTCTATTATTGTCACTTTTAGCCCTTTCAACTCACGTTAGATAATCAAAATGCTTTATTATCATTTTACCTAAGCTCCATATCTATTCCATGTTAGTAAATAACAGAAAAGATGATGAGTTTCTAATAGAAGGGCAATTTTGCTCCAACAAAAAATTATTTGGAAGAATGTTGTCCCCCTTTTAGTACAGGCAGTCCAACGATTCTCACAAAAAAAATTTAGGAAAAAAAATGATCTTTCACCCTATCAAAAAATCACCATTTCCTTATAATCAAAAAATCACCATTTCCTTATAACTTCAATTTTCACGTCTCTAAATTAATTGTATGAGATTTGAGTATTATCAAGTTTATATAATACGTAACTCACTAGCATATATGTTTCTAAATTTGAAGAACATCTATAAATTTACAAATCGTCTGTCAATAAAGATCTCACGTCAAAATTGAAATTTGAACTTATTATAAGCTTGTCCACTATGAGTTAAATCCTTGTTAACTTGAAACTCTCACGCGTAATTTAAGGATATATGTCATTGTTAAATTGTGACATGCACGCAGATATACACATATTTGTCATTTCTTTGACTGATCAATGAAGTCAGTCTCATTCAAAAGAACCTTAAGACCTTCAAATAGTAACTCCACTCAAATCCCTTGTCCTTTTGCTTAATTAGCGCCAACTGGCTCTAAAAAACGACATTGCTCATTATCAAAACAATTTAATTAATTCTATTATTATATTCTTTTTCATATCAGTAAATTAGCTAGTACTCATTATTTTCCACTCTAAACTTTATAAATCCACTTTACAATCCAACTCAAGCATGATTTGATTTTGGTTTTAACTCAACTCAAAGAAATTGAACAATTCATCACTTTATAGTAAAATTAAGAGTTCAAAATTAATGAATCTAATAGCTTATATACTGATTGCTATAAAAACAATATATTTATCCAACACATACAACATGTTTGAATAAATAATTGAGTTATAATAGAATGTCACTTTAGGCGAGGAATAAATAATTGAAGTTCAAAGGTTTAGCATGCGCATGATGATCACCAAAGACTGAAAAGACAGAGAGACAGATCAGAAATGTGAGTGATTTGACAGAAGAAAGATACATAAGTATGTGATGTGAAGAGAACTATGCTTCTTCTTTGACTGCGTCATCTGGATTCTGCTACGTAGAATCCCAGATAGAGACCTTTTTAAAAAAAAAAAAATTATTTTATCTTCTTGGCCACGTCTTGCTTTCCCTGTCAGGGTAGGGAACATTTCACCTGATACAGGACCGGTCAAGACATTTATCCAAGATACGTAAAACCGAATTGATTATTCAATCGATCATGACATTGAATTACAAATTAATGATTCAATTAGAATTGAATTAGGAGTTGAACTGATGACAAACCGGTCATGATTAAAATAATATAATTTAAATAAAAAGATATTAATTATAAAAACATTCAACCAAATTTAACCACTCAAAAGTCTAACAATAATAAAATACTATATTTTTTGACATAGCATGTTCTGCCTCTAATTTTTTATTTTTTGACTTCAATTTTA